TCCAGCGAGGACACCCGCGCACGCGCGCTGTTCCGGCCCCGCCCACCGGGGGCCGCTCTGGCGCGTGCGCAGCCCCGCGCCCTCCGCCGCGTCCTCTGAGGGCCATGGCGGGGGCCCTGCGGAAGGTGAGGCGGTACCGGGGCCTCGGCCGCGTCCTGCTCCGGCTCCAGCGCGGGGGCTTCCTTTCTGGGGGAGGGCAGGGGGTGTCCGAGCGGCGGGGTGAGAGCGAGCGGGGCACCCCGCGAGTGAAGGGCCGAGAGCAGCGCAGGGCCCGGATGCCGGCGGGCCCGCGGTGTGGGGCGGCGGGGGCGCCGGCGCTGCCCCGGCAGCCGCTTGGTGAGGCGAGCTGGTCCCGCTCGGCACTCGCCCTCCCCGACCCTGGGGTCGCGGGACGCCCGGCTCGTGCCTCGGAATGGCCCCAGTCAGGTGTATGTGGAGTCAAAACAAAACGATCAGCGTGGGAATGGATGCTTAGGTATGCTAACTATGTTTGTGCTCTCTGTGCAGACCACTGGACTTGTAGGATTGGCTGTTGTTGAAAACCCTCATGAGGTATGTCACGCATCTTGTTCTGTCGCTAATGGAAGCTGTCAGTGAGATCTAAGGTTTTTGTAATGTATTTTGTAGGTATGCTCTGTACCTTAAACTGGTGCCAACTTAATGAAACAGTAAAAATTTTCCACAGCGATAAAGGAAGAAGATTAATTCTTAAAAATTTAATGGGTATTATTATAAGTTATTTTACCCATCTACTTTTAGTGGCATGTGCTGATTTCAGAAACCTCCTTTATGTAACTACTTTTATCAATCAGTATTTGATTTCTTTCATCTGCAATGCCAGAACAGCTCTTTCAATTCAGTTCTTCATAAGTCTTACATGATAGAGGATGCAAAGCCACATCAAGGCCCTGTGGTGGCAAGCACTGTTGAGATTGGAATACTTCAGTGGTTCTTGGGAACTGCATTAGGTGGTTTTTGTAGCAATTTGGTGCTTGCTTTTTATTTTCTCAGGCTCAGTGATGGAAACATGTTTGCCACATCATGCTTATTCAGGAGGCATGAGCTTTGAAAGAACTTCAGTAATTCTTTCAGTTCTCCACTTTGAAATTTCTTATTATACAAAAATTTTATTTCAGAAATGCTTTTGGCACCAATACGTAAGAATACTGTTAAAAAGAACCATTGAAAATATCACTTCTGTTCTATAGAAATGATTCTGCTTTAGTCTACAACCTTGTCAGACACCTTTTGGGTGAACTTAGTACATTTTAGTGTTTTCAGCGACTTGAAAGCCAAGAGTGAAGAACTGGACAATGCTTTAGGTGAAGTATAGATTTGTTGCCAGTCTCCTTTTTGTTTCCTGGTTTTTTTCTTTGTATTTTTTTCATATTCTGCTTCTGTTTCTTACTGTTCTGTAGGACATCCATTCCTCATCAATTAGATATAGTTATCCAGTCCAAAAGCTGCAGTTTCTTCACCCCAGTGTGTCCTTTATCCCTGCATTTAAATCCAGCGATAAAAGCTTCTGGTTAATTCAGAGTATTTAGTATTAGAAACACAACTTTTATTGTTTCCATTTTGCATCAAATGTACTTCAGATTGCAACTTTCTTTGTTTTTTCCTTTTTTTCCTTTTTTTTTTTTCTTTGAGGAATGTGACCGTGGTAACTTTTCAGTCCCAGTTTTACCCAAGATAGAGTTCAGTGGCTCAGACTTAGTTATTAGTTAATCCTACACTTCTGGATTGAATGCCATAATCTTCTGTATTTTGTGTATAGATATTAAGTTAATAGGTTAAGTAAGACAAGAAGTTAAATAATTGTAGTTGTGTATTTTAACCATGTTTTGTGATCATTTCAGCGCCTGCGAATTCTGTACTCAAAAATACTTGGTGTCCTGCAAAACATTCCCAAAGATGCAGCATATAGGAAATACACTGAGCAGATTATAAATGAGCGATTTGATTTGGTGAAAAAGGTAAGTACAGTGCTGTTTCATTAATGTTGCACATGAAAAAAATTGTAGGATGAGAAGAATGATTGTCAGAAGGCCTGGCTGTTTTTCAGAAGCACACATAACTTTCAGGTATTAGTTCAGAAATAACTGAAGTATCAAGGTTTATTTTTGTGATCTTTTTATGACATATTAAAAGCAATTGTTAATTTAGAAGAAAACATAGGTTTTTTTAAGATTTGTAGAAAAGTGGTAATTTTTCCACACTTGCACTGAAAAATTCATGTGCTCTTACCAGTGTAGTATCTGAGTACAATCCTTGCCTTCAGTATTTTAAAACACTTTGATACATTAAACTATGCAATACTGGTGTATTTAAGGTGTATACTTCAAGATGTATACTAAAGCCCTTACCTGCTGATACTTCTTTGGATGTCACTAAATAGTATTGATTCTTTGTATTTACCATTGAGAGTTTGATGTTTGTTTTTTAATAACAAATGAGTGTGAGATTTCTTTGATAATGTAAAATGATAGAAGCCAGCTAATTTGATCGTAGCTCTGAGGAAGACTGGAGTGTGATCTGGTTAAACTACTGTTTTCATGCTTCATATAGGCTTTCTGCTTCTGAGTAAAACATTTGTTTATATGTGTGTTTATATGTATTTGAATACACAGGAGAGTGATGTGCAAAAACTGCAGGACAAACTGAATAGTGGTCGCATAGAAGAAGTCATTGTACAGGTAAAACAGGGAATCTTAAGATGAAGTACAAAGGGAGAAGTGGTTTTCAGTGTTCCTTTGGCTGAACTTCTGTTCAGGAAATTGGCAGTTTTGCATATCTTCCTTTGCTGCAAAACAGTCAAACAGAAAAAGAAATAGAAAACAAATTGTCATGTAGTGATTGGGATGACTGTGCTAAAGCCTAACACAGTTAACAGTTGTTTGTTGTATTATGCTTACAGATATACATGTGTACCTACATTGCTTCTTACAGAGTCTAAATCAGTGGAAAGGGCAGAAGAGGATTGAATAATATTGGGGCATAATCCAAATAGACTGGAAAGTATCATGTAGTTGTCATTGGGAATGTCTAGGTGAACAGACTGTCTGTTTGGGTATTGGGGGAGATTCAATTTTTTTTTTTAAAACAAACCCCCAAAACATACAGTTTCTTTTGATATTTATAGGTGAAATTTGTGGTAGTCTGTGATCATGATAGATAGTGACATCACTGAGAAAATGAACTGTGATGGAGCTAATTTAATACTTTGTCGATTGTATAGAATTTAAGAATTTGTTTATGGTGTTTATTAACAGGCTGAAAATGAGCTTTCCCTGGCAAGAAAAATGATGCAGTGGAAACCGTGGGAGCCTCTAGTTGAAGAACCTCCTTCTGACCAGTGGAGATGGCCAATATAATTTTCAAAATGGTGTAACCTCTGTAAAAACAAAACTTAATTATTAATCTATTGTTACTGACAGTTGTCTTTAAATTAAAGATAATCACTTCATTAAAATATATTTTGTCCTAAAGTCCACTTTTATTTAGCGGTCTAAACACTGCTTCCAATTTCTTGCAAATACAGTTTTAAGAAAATTCTTTTGGCAGTTCTGCAACTTTTGGTTTATTTACTGTTTTTAGTTTATATTAACAGAGTATTTCTGCCTCACTCTTGAGTTATTTTTATAATTCCTGTCCTGAACTGGCTGATTTTGCTGCCTACATAGCTAAACACTATTTCTGACTTCTGGGAAGTGCTGGAAAGAACCAAGATTGGAGAGGTGAGGGGGAGAAAGAAGATGACTCCGCACAGCAACAGGTTTCTTGGCTAGCAGGTAGGTTACCATACTTGGTATAACACCTGTGGCATAAGCTTTAGTATTGGGATCTTACAAAGGCTTTGTGTAGACATGTATATTTGTATTTTATTGATTCAGATATTGAGTGTTAAGTGGTAGAGTAAATGGAGAAACATCAGGCTGGCGATGTGTCACTAGTGGGGTTTTGCAGGGCTCCATCTTAGGCCCTGTGCTCTTCAACATCTTCATGAATGACTTGGATAGAGGATTTGAAGGGATACTAAGTAAGTTTGCTGATGATGCTAAATTGGAAGGATCTGTTGACTCCCTGGAAGGCAGGGAGGCACTGCAGAGAGACCTCGACAAATTAGAGGACTGGGCAACCACCAACTGTATGAAATTCATCAAGGGAAAGTGCCGGATTCTGCACCTGGGATGGGGCAACCTTGGATGTACATACAGACTGGGGAATGAGATGCTGGAAAGCAGTGCCAGGAAAGGGACCCAGGGATCCTGGTAAATGGCAAGTTGAATATACATCAGCAGTGCCCTGGCAGCCAGGAGGGCCAACCCTGTCCTGGGGGGGCATCAGGCAAAGCATCACCAGATGGTCGAGGGAGGGAATTGTCCCACTCTGCTGGTGTGGTCTCACCTTGAATATTGTGCGCTGTTTTGGGCACGGCAATGTAAGAAAGATATTAAGGTATTAGAGAGTGTCCAAAGGAGGGTAACAAAGATGGTGAAGGAAAGGCCTTGAGGGGAAGCTGTATGAGGAGCTCCTAAGGTCACTTGGTCTGTTCAGTCTGGAGAAGAGAGTGAGGGGAGACCTCATTGCAGTTACAACTTCCTTGTGAGGGAAGGAGGGGCAGACACTGCTCTCTTCTCTGTGGTGACCAGTGACAGGACCCGAAGTGTAGCGTTGGGGTCTTTATGTGATAAAGAATGATGCACGCTCTTCTGAGGTGGAAATGAAAGAGGTTTATTTCAAATTCGGCACTTCCTTATATCCCCTAAAACCATGTGACCTTCTAACCAATGGGGTTGTCTGTCCCTGCGCATGTCCCTTGATCTCTTGGCCCCTGGGACACACCTCCTACACCGAAGCAGTGGCCTGAAGTTGTGTCAGGGGAGGTTTAGGTTGGATATTAGAAAGAGGTTCTTCACCCAGAGAGTGGTTGGGCACTGGAACAGGCTCCCCAGCACCAACCATGACAGAGTTCAAGAAGTGTTTGGATGATACTCTCAGGCACCTGGTGTGACTCTTGGGGATGGTCCCGTGCAGGGCCTGGAGTTGGAGTCAATGATCCTTGTGAGTCCCTTCCAATTCAGCACAGTCTGTGATGCTGTCGTTCTGTCATATTCTGGACAAATTTTTCTTTATAATTCCTTTGCCCTGCTGTTGAGCTCCTCTTTTCCATAACTGGTAAGCAAACTGATCACACTGAGTTTCAGAATACCATTGAGTTCTCCCTGAAACCCTGTCCTTTAATAAAACATGCACTACTGCCAATCTGTAACTAAAGCAAAGTGATCGATACAGTTTATATCAAAATTCAGGGTTTTTGCTTCCCCGCTTCTGTGTGTTCTTTGGGATTACATCAGAAAGACCTGGGATTTCTTTCCAAGGCACAGAGACTCTCTTATCAAAATGATGGTCTTTGAAAGTTTCTGCATTTTTTTTATTAGATAATTCCTGCATTTTCCCCCTTTCTCTGATGGTCCAACCAGATGATCTCTCTTCTGATTACACTAGTCAACCACAGCACAAATTGTTCTGTGTCAGGCAATATTTTAGCTCAGTTACTATAGTTCAAACAATAGTTCTGATTGGTTTAAACAGACCAAGCATTGGGTATCCTTGCCACATCCTAATATAAAGAGTATAAAACTGTAGACCTTGTTGATGAAAATGTTCATGGAATCAATCCTAAAGTGATACTGTAGGAAGTTCCTGGAATTGTCAAACCCTGTTTCAATACATAATTTATTTTAAAATATAACTAAACCAAGAACTAAGAAGTATTATCAGTGTACATTCAATAAGTACATGGTTTTGAAAACAAACCAAAAAAACCCCCAAACCACCCACATGGCATTTCACAGTTTATTTATTATCTGTTTAAGACTGGGGACTCTGTTAAGAGTATTATTCTGTGTTAATATCCAGTATGTAGGCACTCTAAGAAGGCCTTGCTATTGCTATGACTCCTTATCCCTTGTTTGTCTTACCAATAAGTTTATCTCACAGTGAAGCCTTACAAATTACCAAATGATTTGGTATCTGGACAAAGGTTTGGTGATGTATTATGGTGGAATCTGCAACTAGTTAAAGGCTAAACCGTCTCAGATTTGTTGTGATTTATGTAAATATGCTGCCAGATTTTGTTAACGTAGCCCTTGAGAATAATTGGCAAATAATTTATTTTCTTAATGGGAGTTGTTTAACCAATGGGGACACAGATAATCTTCTTATACCCCCCCAGACCTCGTGTTACATTTGATGAGATTTTAGAGAAGTCATGTGTAATACTTTCCTGTGGGTCGAGTCAGCTTATGTTACAGTTGTACAAGGTCAGACCTTAATTTATCTAGCAACTGTGTATTTAATTTTAGAAGTATCACAGGACACCTCAGCTTGCAGGGCACCATTCCTGGCTGTTCAAAATGCAAGCCCCAGAGGAACAGTGGGAAGATAATGGTTTGAAAAGGTGAGAATATGGTATGCTCGCCAGTTAGATTAACAGAGAAATAGTTTATAACTGTAATATTTAATTCACTGAGTCCAAATTTAGATTGCTATTAATTATTTTATTGCTATGAATAACCTCTTTGCATGCCTAAAGGCCTTCTATTTATAGAGTGAAGCTAAGGTTGTCTAGTTTATTTTAAGGATAAGAAATTAGAATAACATTAACTCTCACAAAACTTCACATGTTTAAAAGCAATGAACACTTGATACACTTCTTTCCAAGGAAGAATGCAACTTCCATGATTAGCAAGTAGTTAATATTTTTTCCAATGAAAAAAAAAGTAATTTAGAGAGCAACATCAAGAAGTAATATCTAGTTTTTCGGTCATGAATGTAAAAAAAATGAGAAAAATATCAGGCAACTCAAAATGTTGTTTAAGGAAAATATTCTTGGTAATACAAAAAGTAAAACTCCTTTAGAGTAAGCATTTGCAGTTGTTTCCAGTGATCTAGTGTATGGGTCTAGCAACTGATAAACAGCCAATGGAAGAAAATTTTGCTGATACTTAACCTTTTCATTGCCATGTAGCGTAGCAGGGATGTCTCTGCTGCTGCTCAGTGTACCAGCCATGCTGTTATGTTCCCCTGTGATCCATGTAGAACATCCACACTTCAGTCAGACCGTGTCACCTCAGCAGAGCTTATTATCAGCAGTGATATAGCAAATCAGGCTCTCGAAGCGTGTATAGACCCCTGACAGTGTGTCCAGCACTTGTGCTGTGCTGAGCTCTTTGACTTACTCTACCCTGTCACAGTCACTTGCTGCCTTACTGACTTTCTCATTTTATAGTATGTTAATGTTTGTGGGATAAGATAATTTGAAAACAGTACACACAACTGTTCTGAAACACTGCTCATCTGAGACCTTACTGGTTAAGTCTGTGTTCAAGAAGATCTTTGTGTTGCCTGTGACATAATCAGTCAGGGGAGTATAGCAAAGCCAGGAGATAGCTGCCACATGGGTATGGAAATTATATGACATTATATGAAAAGTTTCTGTGATGGCCTCTGAACTAATTTATTCCTCTTATCTTTTGGAGAGAAAGGGGTGATAGAAAGGCAATACATTTTTTCTGAAAATAAATGGATTTTATCACTAGACAACTATAATGCTCAGTGCTCTTAACTGTTCTTGGAATCACGGATGTTGGAGGGTACTGATCATCTCACAGGACTAAACCGTATGTTAACAGTATTATAGGGATACTGTAATATAGTAAACCAGACTTATTTTCAGAGAGTTTGCAATGTGAGGCTCTGATCTAAGGCCTGTATAAGTCTTCAGGAGCCTTTTTGCTTCAGGCTCTAGGGTAAATATAATGTTACAATTTTTTCTTAATAAATTATCTTATTAATAATAACCATTATCTTATTAATAAATTAACTGTTCGTTTTCATTAGGAGCACCTCTTAGCTGCCAGTGAAATGTTAATGAATTCTAAAATGTACTTTCCTTTTAGTTGATGGGAGGCTGAGGTTGTAGGTATGTTTATTGAGATATACTTGTAAAACTGCTAGTCTAAGAGAGATTTTATCTTTGCTGTCTAAAGGGTTGGTGAGTCTTCAGAACAGTGCGTATTTGTGGATTAAATGATGGAAGCTTTCAAGTATCATCACAATTAGAAAAGTGCTTATGAAAATGAGAGGATAAATACATAAAAAAACCTTGACTCAGAATTCTCCTGCCTGTCAATAGAGCGCATAGACCACGAGAGATGAGGGAGAGCGGTATGTATGTCCACATTGTGATGGCCAGTTCATCAGTCTAACTTACGTGTTAAATCTTTTGGACTGTTGTGCTGCAGCCTTGATTAGAGACAAAATAGGAAGGAAAAGAGAACCTTTCAGAAAAGTATTGTCTCTTATGAATAATATAAATCTCTGTTTTTCTAAGTCCCAAATGAAAATGTTTCTGTGAACATCCCTTTATTCATGGACTCCTTTTTTTTTTGTGTTCAGAGATGACACTCAAGACCAAAGTTGTATATTTTTTCCTTCAGAGAAAATGGGATTTAAGTGCACGTTTTTTTCTACTTTCCTTCAGATTTCCTTCCTTGCAGTTAAAAATCAGACCATGGTTCCAGTACATATTAAAAGAGGTGGGAAACCATATTATGTGGGAATCGGAATCCAAGAGTTTCTGAGTCAATCTGACTGTAAGCCCTTACTAATTTAATTTTGATTTGCAAGCTTTATTATAATATACTAAGTAATAAAGTATTTGTGAATGGGATTAAAATACTGGCTATGGTACTTTGATTGACTTACTGCTTACGAGAGCAATGTAGAAATTAATCTAAAAAGAAAGCTGATCAGTACTTTCCCTTGAGAATAATTTTCAGAAAATGTCCTCCAAATAACTTTTCCAGTGTTCCTTCTCTCTTCGCAGAATGACTAGAATGCACTATGATGATTGTTCTGTGAAAAACATGCAACAGCTTCTTAGTATAATTGTTCAATATCTGTGCAACACTCTAATGAGAAGTGTTCAGTGTGGTAGATACAGCACATGACTACACAAACTGTGGGAGTAGTAGTTTAAAATTAAAAAAATTTAAAAAAATTCAACATCTGGTGTCCTCAGTCTGATTAAAGGACAAATGTGTTAAGCCACTAAGATGGAATCAAACAGAGAAACTGTCAAACCCCAAAGCTCACTTGGAAAAACCTAGGCAGGTGCAGCTAGACAATATATTAACTTAAGGGTTTTTTCCTTAAGTGTCTTTTACCATAGATAAAGACTACATTTTACATTTTACACTTCAAAAACCTAGAAGGTTTTGTAGCGAGCAACATTCCTGGCCTTCCAGTCAGAGTCAGAATTTGCTAGCAAGATGGTCAGTTGATGAGATACCACTAGTAAAAAGGACAGTGAACATAAGCCATAGTTAAAGTTGGTGATATGAGCAGACTGAATTTAAGTTGATGACTATAGTTAAAAGGTTTGACGTACTCTGTTACTAATCCACTGAGTATTTCAATGGCTCTCACACCTTGAAAATAATAGCTGGCATGGCTTGACCATCGCCCGGGCTTTTGGACCCAGTACCTGTGAATGTCCATTAAACTGCATGACTGCAGAAGCAGTGCAGAAACTGCAAAGTTCTTCGTGTTTTTTGATAGGCCATGCCTTGGAAGTATAAAGATAAAGCTATATTTGTGAGTGTTTGTGGTTTGCTCAGGGGGATTTTTTTACATATTAAGGATCATTAAAAGTGATAATTAATGACACATGATGACTCACGAGTGTACCACCTCGTGAGGAAAATAGGAAAATTGTAACATTCATGAAGCAAGGTAAAACCCCTGAAATAAAATAGTCCTTTTGCAAATACGAGCTTTCTATATATTACTTTTTCTACTACATTTTGTTTATCTGTTGGAATTTTCAAGAACCTGTGAACCTGACACGTGCTTTGGAGGAAACTGATCAAAGAGGGTGGTTTCCACTGCACAAGGCTGCAGCTTGGCCAATTCCACAAATACTTGCAGTCATTTTAGATGGCAAGTAGGGTAAAAATATCCCACAAGGTAAGGAGAGTAGCAAAGAAACACAGAGCAATAAACACAACAAGAGGCTAGAACTGTTTACTAAAAAAAGTATGATCAAGTCTTCCAAGGAGCATCTTGCTTATGTTGTTTAAATGTTCAGGCAAATTTTCTGGTTTTGGAAAAGTTGCATCAATTTAGACCAGCAAATAACTTGGACCATTTTTAAAGTTTTGTTCAGAAACCAGCAGACAACACAAAAATTACTATGTAATATTCAGTGTGTTTGGCAATACTTGCTAGGTTAACGTAATTACAGGTGCTTTTTATAGACTTAGTGTTTAAGGATTTCTGATTTATCTATGTGTTAACAACCTTGTGCTTTAATTTTGTCTTATTTTTTTTCCCTTTATTACCTCTTATGAAACAATGTTGGAATACAAAACATGCAATGGAGAAACAGCTTTAAGCTTCACAGCAAAAGCTGTTTTGTGGAAAATGTGTGAGTGTTAGTGGAAAACTGTGTTTATCCCAATACCTCAAATTACAAAGGAGAAACTCCACTTCTTATTGGTAATTGCCTCCTCTCTCTGGGTTTAAGCAACGTCAATGGCAGCTCTTCCTCTCTGTTACGTACTCATCCCAGTACTGCCCTTGGCTTGCATGGTTTAGATACTGGTCATCTTTTTAGATGAAACTAAATGCCCAGCACCTGGTAAAATGTACCCAGTGTTCAGTTCAGCACTCATCATACTTTAGGTGATCACCAGGCTGATCTTCAACATGCTTCTTCTGTTTTAGGTGATTGCTGAACTGCTTCTGAGAAAACGGGACCTATTTTTTGTTTAAGGTGCTTTCTCTATATCTTCAGATGCTAGAAGACCTTTACCAGTGTGGTCCTATTTAACCATCTTAAGGTACAAGAACAGTACAAGAATAAGCCATTGTTTTAACTGGAGTATACTTTTTTTGCAGATCTGATGGTCAGTGGAGATTTTTAGTTTTGTCAGATGATTTGTTCAGGAGTAGGCAGATAGTTTTAAAAACATCTCATCTCATTTCCCTCCCCTCTTGTACTGAAAACAAGCTTCAACTGCATTTCTAAATAATACCACAGTCTAAAGAAAGATGATTCCTTTGGAAGATATTATGCTACTGGTAGACTTAAATGAGCTTTACTATTCATGAATAATTTAGCTATACTAACTTCCAGTTTCTGTTAAATGTCAAAGCATCTTCATGCTTCTAAAGAGAATCAATTTGTGAAATTAATATGAGAAAATACAATATATAATACAATTATCAGTATTAATATATTCAGTTATCTGAATTTTTAGTAACTCTCATCAGATGCTATTACTGTATTACCATTTTGAGGTGCTGAGACATTTGTAAGGGATTCTTCTGCAATACCCAGCTTTTCGTTGCTTCAGTTCTTTTCGATGATTGTCTGTGAAACTTCAGCTGTTTTTCAGCTATTGCTTTTAATGAGTCCTGTGAAGAGTTAACTAGTGCTGATGAAAAAGGTCTTTCCCATTATAATGGCAGTTTATTTTCCTAAATATTTCTGTATACAAACTCCTGAAAGTGAGGTCTGTCAGCTATGTATTGTTTCTGTGATGCTTTTTATTTTTTATGTTTTTCTGTCACTTAGCACTGACAGTTGGATGTAGATATTGTTGTGCATCATACATTTCAATCTTAGTTTCAGTGAAATAGAGAATTGGGTGCTTAACACCACTTAATAGATGATTCTTATGATTTATTTGCTCCTTTTAATTTTAAAACCGATTGGAGGACTCTGTAGTAGAAAGGTGAATGCTGAAGAAGTATTTATCTAGTGGGATGATCTGGGCTTTCAGGTACTACATTTGGTAACACTGTACTTCAAAGCAATTGTGGATAATTATGAAGACTGTTGACTCTTAAAAACCTTCTTGGGTAATGGGACATTCACAAAAGTTAAATTTGCTAACCCTATGATGCTTATCTCCCTCAGCTACCCCACCAGTCCGTGGAGGTATCTTCTATTTCAGAGGGTAGTCTAAAAGTAAAATTAGATTCTTACTTAGCATCAGTCTTTTACATGTAAATAATAGGCAGGTGTAGTTATCCATTAAAACCATGGAACCTCAAAACTATGGAACATGGCCTTTAAGTATGACAGATGTCAACTGTACTTTGGTTGACAACGACCACTGTGTAGACACTAGGATTAGAGCTACCCAGGTGGAAAAGAAAGTGAGAGGTGGAATTTTCCAGAGACACTGTAATGTTTGCAACAACTTTAGACACAATTTTAATATTGTGTTATTTTAATTGTTGTTTTCCTTGTGATACTCTTGCTTCTGTTTTCTCAGAATCAAAGTATTGCTGCTTTTGCCTTCCATGCCCCAAACTGACGGTTTTGAACTTGTGTTCGTGTACCTTGATTTCCGAAGCAGCTGAAATATTTATTCATTTACCAAATATTGGATTCCCAGATTTCTAGGACTGGAAATCTTTTTAAATTCTTTATATTGGAACACATAGAAAAGCTTTTCTAAACTTATTAGATGTCTTTAACTTTCAAGACAATACTTGAAAATGTACTTATATTTTTAGCTACAAGATGGGGCTCTTTTGAAATGGTATCCACTCTGATTAAATACAACTGTACTATCCACCAACTGTGCATGAAATGTTGGTCAGCAATGCATGAAGATGCCAAACAGAGATGCAAAGACATTGTTGATCTTCTGAAGAATGGTGGAAATGTGAACATTAAGGGTGAATATTGAGCAACACCATTAGGTGTTGCTGATGAATATGGTCAATGTGATGTGCTGGAGCATCTTAATCGTAAAGCTGTGTAATCAGGAAAAGAGAAATACACCTCTGCCTGGCTGCTCAGGTGTTTCAGGGTGGTCATAGAAAAGGGAAGAAAGAGGAGTGATAAATGAGAAGATTTGGTTTCTTAGAAGGAAAGGAAGCATAGATGAGCATTCCTGCTAGACTGGAGTGATGCTTACAAGTTTCCATAGTGCATGTGAAAAGAGTGGCTCAGTCAAGGAGAGACTTACTGCTATATGTGCCCTTTTTGCCCTTCTATATTTCTCTTTACTCCCTTCCCTCCCTTCTTCCCTTCCTTCTTCCCTCCTTCTGTCTCTCTCTGCCTTCTATCTTTCCTTCCACGAATAGAATTATATTGGTATTAATTAATGAAATGAATTTTTTTTGAAATATGCCAGTTTGAAAGTCCTCAGTTATAACACTTAGAGTCAAAGCAGACCAGAGCCAGGTGTATCTGTACACCTTTTGTTCTGCCTTTGAGTTTTAAATTTGCCACAAGAAATATTTCTTGTTTTAGTAAAGTTTTAACTTAAATACATCTGAAAATGAAGAGCAAAGTACTCTGGGTTTGCTTTTATGATGATCTACAAATCACTTTGGATATAGGTTCTGTATCCTCCTTCAGTGTGGAGATGTCCAGGCCTTAGCAGATGATCATGCATCAGTACTGTTTAAAGTAGCTGGAGGAGGTAATCCAGACTCCATAGCCCTTCTTTTGGAATACAGAGGAAGGGGTAATGTGCTTTAAAATTTATTATTTTCGCATTTTTCTGCACAGATTTTGAAATTACGACTTGATGTGTTGTCTCTTTCAGTTCTGTTAGTCTATTGTTCCTTGATTGAAACACTTAGCAGAAAAAGTGGGTTGTGTTTTTATAGATTGCATGGATTATGTTCCTTCATGCATAAGAATGAAGTTTTTTCTAGAAACACAGGAAGAAGGGACAGAGATACATCAGATTGGATAAACGTCTAACTTCCAGTTAATAATGTTATGGTTAATTATAGGACACTTAAATTGCTTATGTCAGCTCACATTCATCCAAATATGTACTAGCTAAGAACCAGGTTGTGCCTGTCATCCAGTCCTTAGATTGAGATGATCTTTACCTATTACCACTGGTCATAAATTAGTTAATTGGACTGCAGTATGGCAAATGTGCACCTGGTGCAAATTAATCTCGTAAGGAATTTAGGGCCATGATTTAGTGGTGGACTTGTCAGTGTTATGTTAATGGTAGGACTTGATCTCAGAGGTCTTTTCCAACCTAAATGATTCTATGAGTCTATGAATGTCACTGTTGTATGGGAAGCCTTTTTAGTTAAGCAGGGCCACTGAGGTACTTATCAAACTCCTTATTAACTGACATAACACTAGTCATTGCACAGCTATAGGGCACAAAGTTTTTTTGTTGAGGAATATTGCTCCCACTTCCATCCTTCTTTTTGCTCTCTTAATCTCTCAAGTCTATTAATTGTTCAAGGATTATCATAAGGCATGTTTTAGATCCCTTATGTTCAAGGTGGTACATGGTGTGCAATCACCATGTGTAGCATAATTTCCTTACTTTGATTTACACAATAGACAATCTAGAGTTGCCATTATTAATTCTATAATTGACTATTTCTACTGGGTGCTTTAATTTTGAATCGTCTACCATTGGTTGCACCAGAGATAGATTTCACCAAACTTAACTTAAAAAAATGATTTGGGGAATGTACTAAATGTTCTCTTTGCACACATTGATTTTATTTGACTTTTAAAATAATTTTAAATAGAACTTGATTTAACATCAGCTGTTAAAAAACATATTTATGTTCAAAACTGGTACTCTGTATTTAATTTTTGCTTCAGTATTTTTCATTAGCATGCAGAGGAACTGGTTTTTGTAAGTGTCACAGGAACATCCAAAGAATTTGGAACTCTTCACTGCTGATATTTCAAGTATGGTGCAAGTTTTTTTGACGTTCAGGAAGGCTAAGTTAAATGAAATCTTTGACTGATATCAGTAGCAGAAGTATTTGTTCAGCCTACTCAGCAGGCCCAAGGATGGTAAGGTCTGGTCCTGCTGCCTTATTGATACAGCAGAAGTGGAAAATGCTGTGGCTGTCCTCAACATGCAACTTTTAAAAGGTGCACCTAGGGAAAGGAGAGATTGTTCATCGGTGTGCATATATCTGAAAGGGAGACAATAATGTTGAACAGATATCTGACAGAAGATCTTTGATTAATATGGGCATTGTGTGTCACCACAATTCTGAAGTTGAGTGGTATTTTATTCAGAAGTAACAAAATAATAATGCCTCAAGGTAATAGATTTTTATGTTAATTTTATTAGAGCATATTTTGAGATTGTGAACTAACTTACAGTCATTGTCAATGGCATTGATTTTTCCACCATTTTTCTCTGACTTCTTTAGATAATCCTTTCTTTTTGAAACATCTGTGTCTGAAAATATGTAAACTCATGTGCTTAAAGAGACTCCAGAAACTGTCATCCATGAAGAAATTTCCACTTCCACCAGTTCTCAAGAACTTAATTCTATATAAAAAATATGATCTGTATGGAAAAGGGATGTATTTAGAATAGTTTTTAAAAATAACTGTATACAGTCTGTAATTTGACTAATTTCTTCATTTTTTTAACGAACTGGAGAACTGTTTGATGTTTCATATACCTTCCCAACATTCTGATTTTTTTGTTAGTTGTTCTTTTATGGGAACAAATTTCTTTTCAAAATTAAAATGTTGTGGCAGTTTGAGCCACATTAGAAATCTAAAATCCAATTTTTAGGCTTCTCCCCACCCCTTCCCACAATTTATCCTAACACCGGAGAGAAACTTTCAGACCAGAGGCTTCTGTAGGGGAAAGGGGAAGTATATACATTTATTTACACAAATAAATTCTATACAAACTAAAGGCAACTATATATATATATTACATTACTATCAGTCAGTCCTTTCAAGCCCCTCCTTTAACTTTAGTCCCGGAGCAGCCTTTAAGGTTGATATGTAACACAGTCTTTTGCTGTGGGAGTGTTCTGGGCTCCTGAACGCTCCGCTCTCACCAAGTTCTAGTTGTTTGTTGTAGTCTCTCCTCCTCATGAAGTCCGAGAAGATAGCTTTGAGTCATTGCTCTTTTGCTGCTGCTGATTTCTCCCTCTCGGTGTCTCACCTTGGTTCGTAGGTTGCTGCAGTGTAGCTTATCAAGTGTCCACATCCTGGAATCCTCATTCCTCCACATCAGTTCTCAGCTGCCCCCGGTCAACTTCGGCAGGCAACTCTCGAGCTCTTGGCTCGTCTCCAGTTTCGCCTGGGACTCTTCTCCCAAGCGCCGGGCCTACTTCCACAACCCGTCCACTTGGCTCAGCTTCAAGTTGAGCCTCTCCTCCGCTTATAGTGGAGGGAAAGAAGAAGCCCCTCTCTACAGCTTCACTGCAGAAAAGGAGGGGGAAGAGGGCTTGGCTACAAAGCCTGCCTCTCTCCTCTTACCTCAGGTGCTGTGAATCTCTTCCTTCATAGCACACACTCCAAATGCTGACTCTAACTAGCCAAAGGCTGAGTTGGGGGGTTGCAGGGCTCCCCTCTCCGCCCCCTCTCCCCCTGGCCTTGTCCACCTACATGCAGCAGACACCAACAACAAAACAACCAAGACTACGCTACCAACAGCTTCCGGTGCTGTGATATATGATTTTGAGCAGAAGAGAACAACATCAGTGGTGATTGGCTCTCCAGGGAACACTGTCCTGGCACCCAATCACCTCTGAGCCCCCCAGCCTCTCGGGGGGGGCAATCTCAACCTATGACAAATGTTAAAACTCATGTTTTAACACAATATTGTGCTATCCAAATATAGGCTAAATCAGAATATGGCTATTGTAGTAATTATGTATAACAGTATATTCTAAATGGGAATTCAGATGAATAAATGATAGAAGAATTTTCGTTATGGACTTCCACATGAAGATGAGAAATATGGTTGCTGCTCTCTGTTAGTGGCATTCATTTATCTGTAACAGAAAATAAATGTCTAATTTAGCTTGGAAAAAAAAAATCACTAAATGCACATTTCTGTCATGTAATTGGCCTGAAATACAGCACATTTTGTACTTTGAAGATCATAGTCCTGTAAAAAATTCATTAAACCCTTAAAAGGTCTTTTTGCCAAGTGTTAGCTCCTGGCTACAACTGCTGTGTGTGCATGATTCAAGGCTTGGCAAAATTTGAGGCACTTTAAGTAGGCTCTTTTAAAGAAAGAGTAGATTTTGATGGGCAATCGAACCAGGAAATCAAGTAGCATATCCCCTTGGTTGAGAAATACTGTAACTTTAATAATGGTTCCTTCAGAGTTTTGGCAGATCACTTCTTTATTGACCACACTAAACAACACTCTGTGATGCTGTGGTACACTTCAAAGTATTCTTCTGCACATCTAGAAAAAAAATTAATAGAATAAATTTAAAGAATATTTAATTAAAAATCGATTGCAGTTACTCCCTTTGTTCTACCACCCCTTTCATCTTGAGGAAAGAAAAAAGAATCCAAACCCTCTAAACTAAGAAAATATTACAGTTGGCAGTTGTTAAGATTACATAGAGCATAGTCAGTTTAGCTAAACATGGCATCAAGTGTTTTGGTTGGAAGGGACCTTAAGGATTATCTAGTTCCTTCCAACCACCCTACCATGGCCAGAGACACCTTTCACTAGACCAGCTTTCTCAAAGCCCTGTCCAACCTGGCCTTGAACAGTTCCAGGGATGGGGCAGCCACAATTTCTCTGGGCAACCTGTTACTTAAGAGATATGCTGGTTATCACATACATACATGCATTCACACAACCCAAAGGTCAGCTTCAGTATGCTTCTGCCCTGCTCCCTACACTGGCTCTCCCTGTTCTTCAGAACTTCTCCCTATTTATTTGCTGGATGTCATTGTCATATAAAACTTATTAACTTCTGAGTCAGAGATGTAAATTCCACTTCCAAAGGCAGCTATATCAGTCCTTTGTGTGTCCATCCCTTCTCACAACAGATTTACTAGACCAGATGGAAGGAGTGAAAATTACTGGTCTAGGACATATAGGAGTTTGAACAGAAATCTTAATTCCTCCTTGGGCTCTCTGAAGGGCTACTATTCAGCTGGCTTTGGAAGTCATATCCTCTGGTTTTTTTGCCAGAAATTTTGACCAGGATGAAAAAGAATAACTTGGTCATTTGTGAAAAACTTCTAGGTATCTGGCATCAGGGCCCAGCCTCTGACAGGAGGATGCCCTGGGTGACTGGTAACTGCAGGCATAGCCTGAGCATACGGAGCCCAGTGAACCCAACACAGCTGACTCCAAGTCAAGGATCCACTGACCAATACATCCTGGACATACCAGGCTAAATGTGTGTGTGCTTCATAACCTATAAACTGATATTTCTGTGTGGGAATTTCTAAACAGAAATATGGGCTTAATGACAATTGTGGTAATTTTAATGAATACAGTGACCACAATGCAAGAGTCTGGGTAATTGCCTATTTGATATAGTGTACTGCAACTAGCAAAGGAAACATGATCAAATAGGGCTTTAGACAGGAGATTTTAAACCCTTTCTGTGACTAGAGCCAAATTCCACTAGTAATTTTAGTCCACAGGCAAAGGTTTATATTTAGGACTTTATACACACCTCAGGCCCCAGTTACATTGCCTGCAGCATCAAAGCATTCAGATCTAAGACTGAACATTACCCTAAATGTTTAAAATACCATGAACTACTCTTTTGAATATCATTAGGTAAGGTAAAAAGACGTGGTATTGTTGTGTTTATCTTTTTATCAATACATCTGGGCCCTTTTTGTTGTTTAGTAGCCTGTTATAGAAGGTGGCCTAATCCTGGTTTAAAGCTTCTCTGTCATTCACAGTTGAAGTTCTGTCATTCAAAGTTGAAAACTATTCTAAATACATCCCTTCTCCATACAGATCATATTTTTTATATAGAATAAAGTTCTAGAGAACTGGTGGAAGTGGAAATTTCTTCATGGATGACAGTTTCTGGAGTCTCTTTAAGCACATGAGTTTACATATTTTCAGACGACACAGATATTGAAGTTAAGTTGAAGCTTAATTTATTGAAAACTTCCCCAGCCCTCCCTAACCTCACCCCAGATGCTAAAGGAATTACAGCATTATGAGAAAGTGTCTTTCATGTTTTCGAGGAATCTGTGAATGGAGGTAGGAGAAGCAAGACTTTATTTTAAATGGAATATGAGGTGAGAAAGTCATGGAAAGGGAGCTGTTTTCCCCAGGTCGTGTTTATGGTACAGCTAGGAATTGAACACAGGTCTTTTGACTCCCATATTTTGCAGCCAGACCACTGAATAATACTTTTATGTACTTGAGTATGTGGTGGTAGGAGCAAGAAATGTAACTGGACCAGAACTGGTGATTGTGCAAAAAGAGGCAAAGGCATCAGCCTCAGCTGGAAGAATAAATTGGTAGGAAAAAACTACTTTTTATTTTCCCTGCTTAGACTGTGATTGAACCCTTGCAACACTGGAATTTAATTTTCTCTGCTATTTGGGTGTGTCTCTTCCATGGCATGCCCCCCCCCTCCACCCCCCCAGTGATGTTGTCTAGAAGTAATTAAATGCTCTGGCACCGATTCAGGCGTGCTCAGGGGCAGGGACTCCTATGGATTTGAGGACAATGTTTGAAATCAGAGGTATCATTTGGTCTCTGTTTCTCATAAAATCTGACACAAGCAGCTGCAGGAGACAGATGAGCTCTCCAAGAAGCCAGACATTCAACAGTGGTTACATCAGCCTTTGCAGCACCCATGGGATGGACTTTGTAGCTGTCAGTGTTTTCATAGCTCAGTGAAGGAAGGACCAAACCATAGCCATGAGTCCTGTATATGACCAGCTGTTCACTGTAGGGGCCATAATGACTTGCAGGTTGTCCATAAAACTCCGTGCACTGGCTAACCATCAAATTTTGGCAGCTGGCATGGCAGAGCCTGTGCTGGGTATCAAGGTAGTGGGAGTATGGTGAAGGGATGGGCAGCAATTTTACCGTTTAGCTGCAGCAGTCTGTACTCTGGCACAGGCTCTTAGTGCCTGAGCTGCACTTTCTCAGACTATTGCCATTAGTACAAGAGTCACACATGAAAGAACAGTCACAAAGTCACAAGCTCTTTTGTGTCTGCTGTGAGGTAGAGCAAAGGGATTTTTTCTGACCCTTACTCGGGACAGAAAAAAAAGCCTTCTAAAATATCCAGCTGTTTGGCTATGATTTGCAAGGAGAAAAGTGACATAAATTCATTATCATTTATCTCTGTAGAATAAGTCTTATCTCTTACTTTCCTTTCACTCCCAGGGGCTGGAGCACAAGTCTTATGAGGAGCAGCTGAGGGAGCTGGGGTTGTTTAGCCTGGACAAAAGGAGGCTCAGGGGAGGCCTTAATGCTCTCTGCAGCTGCCTAGAAGGAGGTTGTAGCAAAGTGGGGGTCGGCCTCTTCTCTCAGGTAACAAGTGAAAGGACAAGAGGAAATGGCCTCAAGTTGTGCTGGAGGAGGTTTAGATTGGGTATGATGAAAAAATTTTTCATAGAAGGCATTGTAAAGCCTTGGAACAGGCTGCCCAGGGAAGTGGTGGAGTTACCATCCCTGGAAGTGTTCAAAAAACATGTAGATATGGCACATGAGAACATGGTTTAATGGTGAACATGATAGTGGTGCTGGGTTGATGACTGGACTTGATGATCTTAAAGGTCTTTTCCAACCTTAACAAGTCTATGATTCTGTAATTTAATACACATCTAATCAACAGCTTCTTACCCTCACCTGTGTCTTCTGTGGAACCAGCTTTGCCTGTCTGGTATACTCTTCCACTGCTATCATCTGCTTGCTAAATCAGTCCTTTTAAAGCCTTCCCCCTACTTTTTTGTTTCATGTGAGCCTTAGGACCTCTACTCAGGAAAATTGTATCAAGAAAATTAATTTCAGGCAAAGTGATTTTAAGCCTTAGTGGTCCTATTACGCTTTTTTTCCCCCTCATCTTTCTACTGGAAGTTGTTTGTTTAGGCTGCAGCAATTAAAAATGGCACCTTGCCACTCAAGATGTCTGTCCTTCAGCATCCACTTCTGTGCCCTACGGATAAAGATCTTAGCTCAAAAATACACCATCTGTTTCCAAATGCATGGAGCAACTTCAAAGAAATCCAACCCTACTCATTACCAGGACAAATGCTGCATCTGAAAGAAGTGCATGGGAAAATGCACAAAATTGCTGTATAAATATTTAAAGATATATATTGCAATGGGAATAATTTTCTGTCCCTTAAGTGTCACTCACACCAGCAAAAGAGGTACTTGGATCAGGAGAAATATTCCTCAAGGAACTCGTGTTTTGTGGTTCTGAAAAGCTATAAAAATATATTAATGAATGTTTAGTAATCATAGGACTGCTATAACAGTGTAGCTCTGGTGACATGTACGATGTGTTTACATTTAATTTTAAAAATTAAATTTTTTTGTAGAAATCTTTACATTTGATTGGGCAAACCCATTGCCTTTTGCCCACATATTCTGTATATGGTAGATATAGTGCCCAGAACTGCCATTGTCATTAATATGGACAAATAAAAAAAAAAAAAAGACATAATTAAAGACAGTAAAGTAGAGAATTTACCTGGTTAGTACTGCTGCTTGTATTTAATTCCCTATGAAGTACATCACTTGTTTATATTACTGGCATCTCCTTTTAAAAGAAAATCTTCATAAACACATACACAAGGAAATGTTAAATATGGAAGTAAGTAACTGTCTTGCCCTCTGTGTATAAACGAACAGAGTGATTTTTTAATCCGAGTGAAAACCATAGGTTTGGCTAAGCTACATGGGAGAACTGTCTGGGACTAAGACATTAACAAAGGATGAAATCCATGTGCTTTTTATAATCACTTATGGTTTAATAATTGCCTGACCTGCACATGCAAATTACAGTGTATTTGCAAATACCACTGCAAATAATATAGTGGTTACATTGGCATATGCTTTTTTTTTTTGAAAGAATAGGCTAACTGCAGATGCCAAAAGAGAATCCCATTGCAATTGCACTTCCAAAACTCACGTTTTTTGTGCATAGAGCAGTTCCTCTACTACTTTCTTTGCAATACAGCGGCTTCTACTTCCTGTCTGAACCTGTTGAGCAATATCACGATGTAATTCCAAACAGCTGCTGTGGTCACCCTATGTCTGTACATCAGTAGCGAGTGAAATGATTTCTATATATAGTTTGTAAATCTGTTGGCAACGTTTGTAAAGCACACTGAGATTCTTCCTGAGGAATAAGAGCAGCTATATGAAAGCAAGAGCATTAAGACCATTATTGCGTACAAAGCAGTTTATCTTTTTCGTGTGGCAGAAATGAGAAAATGGCCAGTCTGCAGAGATGTGGAGAAACACTTGTTTTGGGCAAAACCCTGGCAGGAATACTTTGTGCTGTCAAAGATAAGCAGGTTCATCTCACGCTGTTATTACAGAACATGACATTGTACTGACACAAGATGATTAAAAAGTATTGGCTCTGTAGGAAGGAAAGAAAACTGGGAATGGAAATGACATCTATTCAATAAGATTTATTTGTCCCCCTTGCCTTCCCAATTTTAGAGCGATTCAGGTACACAAAAGGAGCAATAAATCCCAACTCTGCTGCATCTTTGGCACCCAGCTGCATGACTCTTTGTATAATAAACCTTCAGGATCCATGCACAAAGGACACTAGGTGCTTTTGCAATGTGAGCAGTGAGTTCTCCCTCTTTTAATTAAAGGCTGAGGAATTTTTTAGTCCAGAAATGTTCTTAGTTTCACCTAGGGTAATTTTTCCCTCCAGTGCTTCCCTCAGGCAGGTCGACCTCTTGATTCCCCTTCCAAGATACATCCTTACTCTCTTCTCAGCAGCAGCACTAAAAGAGCCCATTCACTTCTTCACTTGCCATGATTTTTCTGTGTTGCTAAGTAAGGCAACCCAAATACACCCATCAGCGAAATACATCAGATTAGTGGTTGCCCCATGGCTTGTTGGTATATAGTGTATATTTATGCCCGCAGCAACTGTTGAGAAAGCTGTTTTCAAAACTAATCTGAGCAATAGGGCAGCCCACATGCACATGTTTTTGAGTGAAAGCTGATCACTGTTTGTGATGATCTGAGTTGATCAACTGCAATCTAGATGTGGAATCTTTCCTCCCGGTAGCCTGGGGTGTATTGTAGGGGATCTGTGGGAAAAATCCATATTTGAACTAGCATGCTGAGTCTGATTTCCAAGCAAGGACTGGTTTTGATTCAGGGTCATCTTTATACTTACCACACTTTTTGTTTCCCCAACAGGGATGAAAAGAAAGATCTTTTTCTTCTGTGTGACTCCATGTTTACCGCATCACCAGGAGAGATGCACTGGACAACGGAATCATCTGGCATAGAGAGAAGCAGCTGAAAAATTGTTCCTTCAAATGCCTTCAGTGCATGCTTCATCCCATTTGCTCTGCTGATACCACTGTTAAATGGAGGTGATGACACATCCTTTTCAGGCACAGTGCTGTGTGCACAATTTTGACAAGTTATGTGAGTCTCCCAGGGGAAAGAGAAGCAGCTTGTCCCATCAGTCTGCCTTGCGGTCCTGTGTACTTGCCAGGCTGCCTGACCTGTGTCTCTCCAGTATGGTTTGAATGATGCATTCAACCTGGTAGCATACAGAAATACAAGCAGCATACAGAAATTGAGACATGGGGATAGATAGATAGATAGATAGATAGATAGATAGATAGATAGATAGATAAATACATTGCTATCCACGGGAGGGGGAAGGCAGGGAGTGAGGAACACAGGGTCAGGACAGAGGGGATGCACAAGGAGGGGAAGGAAGGACAGGTCAGCAAACAGGCTGTGGAAGCGGATGAGAACAGCAAGGGGCTATTCATGGAGGGCAGACAAGGATGGCCTGCAGGGCATACAGAGAAGGTAGCAGCACAAGGCACAAGATGGGGAGGTGGGAGAGCTTGGAGGCTGGTGCCTCAGTGTCTGCATGAGTGGACAGCAGGAGTGAAGGAGCTGTTCAGTGCAATGAGGGATGCAAAAGCTGCAGGGGGAGGTGGGAGCAAGCAGCACTGGAGAAGGACAGCGGGAGAGATGGGGAAAGCCCAGCCGTGCTCTGGTGCATTTTTTTTGATGTGCTCTGTGGCAATTGGACCTGTTCCTGCAGTGTGGGATTGAGCTCAGTATGAGCCAATGCATCTGTCTGACAGGCTGTTCTCAGGAGCCATGACTGAAATAGCCACCGTCCCATGCCTAAGGACAAGGTTGTGCAGCCCTCTTTTTGCTTGCCTGTAGTTTTGCCTGCAACTCATCCAAGTGGAAATAAACATTAAACTATGAGCTTTGTCCTGCAGGGGAGCAAGCACCACCTGCCACAGTTTGCTCATGTCCTTTCAGCAATTGTGACAGTGTACTCCAAGTGTGGAAATGTGAGAAGCAGAACAAAGTCCTCTAGTCTGCTGCTTGAAATAGTTAATTGCTTGGAAAGGCAAAAAGGACACTTAGAAGAGTTTCCTCTTTTCAAACCAAGAAAATAGGCCTCCCAAGTTAGGGAGGATTGAAAGTCTTGTCTGCAATCTAGCTGCTGCTGAGTAGGCTCTATCCCGCTCAAAGCCAGGAACCTGGGTGCCGAGATATACAATGACAGAGTGAATCCTGCTGCTATAAAATGGGCACTTCCAGTTCTCATTTTCACTCATTATCTCAAGTCCTGATTGAGTGATGAGTTTTCATGGCCTATATGTGAAATAGTTTATTTCCTGCATACAGGATTTCAGCAGGGCGTTAGGGAAGAGAGTTTGGGTCTTCTGTTAGAAGGTGGCAGAGCATGTCATCAAGTCATGGAATCATAGAATAATTTAGGTTGGAAAAGACCTCTTAGATCATCAAGTCCAAATGTTAACCTAACACTGCCAAGACCACAACTAAATCATGTCCCTAAGTGCCATATCTGCGTGTCTTTTAAATACCTCCAGGGATGGTGACTCAACCACTTCCCTGGGCTGCCTGTTTCAATACTTGACAACCCCTACCATGAAGAAAGATTTCCTAATATCCAATTGGAAGATTCATCCTAAACAGCGGGCAACGAAGTCAGTGTAAACCTGCCCTCCTGCACTACATATGGTTCACGCTCTACTCTCCTGCCTTCTGTGATGGAAGGAAGTCCACTGTGCCACCTTGCTAGCACAAGGTCTCTTCCTAAGCTGTTTGTAATGGTGTTCTCGAGAACATAGCCTGGGACATATAACAGGATGCTCAGACTCCTATTTTTTTTTCATTTTTTCTAAAGAGAACATTACAGAAATCCGAACATGTAAAGTGCCTGAGAAAGGGGACTGTGGAATGGGAATAAAATGGTTCAGGCAAGAATGCTAATAACAGGAAAACAAAATCACTCCTGTCTTTGCTGCAGCAGTTCCTTTTGGGAGTTGAAACCTGTGATCTGAAATGTTGCTGTGGTGGGAGATTTCAGCTGTGGCTAATGGACTACAGGAATTGAGCCCTGACCAGTTGAAGTGCTTACATAATGCCAAATACTGCCAGAAGGGGAATCTGAAACTTCAAATCAGTGAATACTTTCAGCCTTAAGGTGTCTTAAGGCTGTCTTAAGGTGTCTGTACCTCTGTTCTTTTTCCTCACAAAGCTAGTAAGACCTTCATGTCCCCTGAAATGGCCACTGGATAATTAAAGACATCGATAGTCTTATTATGCTGAAGAAAAGGGGCAAAACAAAATGCTGAAAGGCTGTTAAATGTGTACGATCTCTCCCATGTATGGAAAGAGTAAAGGTTCTGGGTGCTCATGGGTCTAGGATCAAAGTATATGATTACAGAACCATGGAATTAAGGACTGTGTTTCAGCGCTCATCAGCAGGAGAGAACAAATACTATTCCCACATTTTCTGATCTGTGAGTACTTAGCTTAGTCTTAGCATCTTCTTGGTGTGTGTAATTGGCCATGTGCTACAGCCTTATTGCTTTTATTAAAATTGTCCTAGAGAGGGATTATGGGTCTTCACTCTTGGCCATTCCCTTGTAAAGAACGAGTACTAAATTACCATGAGTGGCATATAAGACCAAGAAAGGACATCAACCACTCATAACCTCACCTAATTATGCCAGTTTCCCCCCTACTTCAGGGGACACATGTACAAGAAAATACCTAATCCATGTTTAGTAACATCTTTAAATTATGTCATGGCTAAAATGGACATCAGTGACATTTTATGTGTAGAAAAACAGCACCATCAGCCCAGTGTCGTATCCTTGCCTCAGCAAGGAGTAGCATTGAAAGTAATATTCATGCTGTTAAATCTTCCTTTGGAATATTATTTTAGAAGTGAGTATTGCATGTTGCTTCTTCAAGTTCCTTTGAGTTTGGAAAATTTGATTTATACGTAGAAAATTTCACATAGATAATTCAGATATCAGTACATTTGTACTTTGTATTACAGACTCTTAGCCCAGGAAAATTCGGAGACTTACAGATTTTGTTGTATCTGAGAAAACAGAAAAAGCAGAAAGCTCAGAATTTTTTTGAAACAGTATATTTGAATAAATTTCATTTTTAACATAATCTTTTTGCTTTTAATATTGTACATGTCAGTGTTGTAGATATCAACATTGAACTAATAAAATATAGTGTATTTCTAAAAGCATTTTGGTTTCAATCAGGATTTTCCTACAGAAAACCTGCCAAGTGCAAATTTCCTAACCACCTCCATCAAAAAATGTGTACAACAAAATGTTGTCTGCAAAAACACACCCCAGAAAGATAATTTTGTTGTGCTGCTTCTCTGGCTAACTCCAATGATAACGATGTGAACCTTTGTCCTAGACATACTGAAGAAATAAAAATGCTTGGAGTGCTGTTATATACAACATCAGCTCTATCTAAAAGCATTGGTGATGCAACGCTAAAATTAAAAAGGTACTTATTATTTTTTTCTGCTCTTTCAGACTTTACAGAATTCGACCCAGGCTTCATTCTGCAGGTGCAGCTGAAAGAGCGAGCAGAACTTCTACTGACCCACTGGGTTGTCTATAAGCAGTTGGTGCGTCATTGTATCTTATACTGTCAAGTAATTCTCTTAGCTCAGTAAGCCAAGCATCTTCCTCCTTTTTATTTAATCCAAAGATTTGGTCAATACAAATGACCTGCAAATATTTATTTGTTTTAAGATGTACAATATTCCTCAATCTGCCTTATTAATGTATTTTGTGTGTTAGAGAAGACTAAGCTAATGAGCTTTCATCCCAATTCTTGAGCAAGATAAAAGCATGATGTTCATATAGACAGATGATCAAAGGAAAAATATAATTTCTTTCTCAAATCTATGTGAAAACCAAGCTTGATCTCCTTTCTCCATTGTCAGTAAAGCAGTATGCAGAATAATAAAGCTAAGTAAGCAGTTTGGCTAAACATCATACATCAGTTCATGTGTCCAATCCATATTAATCAAAAACAGATGATGGACAAGAGCAGTACTTAAATTATTTTCAGTTACATTTTCATTAAATATTGGTTTGACTGTCTAGAATGCACTGTGTGTAATCATTTAAGAAGGTTGATATATGTTGCTATAAATGCATTCCTACTTCTCTGTACCAAAACCAACCTTCTCTCTGTCCTTCTCCCTTCTCTCTTTTTCTCAACATGGGTTTGCAGATATTGTTGGCCTTCATATTTCAGAAAACTTTTCTAGTTCACCATCATTCACTGATAATAGAGAAAAATCAGAAACAGTGCAAAGTTTAACCTTTTTTTCTGTAGTTTCTTACACAGGAACATACCTGTCTATAAAACTAATATAATCATAATATATCATGTCTTAACAGAAATGATAATGTGATAGACATGTAGAATAAAGAAATGAAGGGCACACTGCAGCTGGACACCAGTCAGTGACAGCAAGCAATAGCCATTAATAGAATAACCACTAGAGGCCTTCAGTTGCTTGGGCTGTCAGAAATGATGAAGGCAGAGCCCTGCTGCCCACCCAGGGCTTGTTCCCCCTAAAATTCTGGGGGACTCTGCTCACTCCTCCCAGCAGAGTGCAATTCTCTGCATGAAAAAAAAAATTTCACAGGAGCTCCAAACGGGCAAGCCAAGCTGATTCTCCCTCTGATCATCCTAGAAAAAATAAGGGAATTAATAAATAATCCAGTGATTTGTTACAGGCACAATGTGACATTATGGGAACAGTGCTCCCCACAGGTGCTGGCAGGCCGACCTCCTCCCCTCGGCTGCCTTTCCAACGATCCCAACCGCCTGCAAACACCTTGGCGGGATAACAGCATGGTTCCACTAGAAAACCGTGAAAGCAAGAGGAAGTCTGCTGAACAATGGCAAGGGTGTTTTACTTCCAGCCCCTGGGACAGCTCAGGATTAAATGGATTTTCATTGTTCTTTCCCTCCTGCAATTTGGACACAACATTGGTGTAAGTGCACCCAGGGTTTTATTTGCTGCTGCCCCCCCGTCTGCGAGGTTGGTATTCTCCCACTAGCTGCCTGCTCTAAATATGGCCATGGCCAGTGTGTCAATAATCCCCCTCTTTAAGGGACCTGCAAACACTAGTGTTGGGACATTCTTGCTGTTCAGATGTCTAGCTGACGTCTGATGCTTAAAACAGAGCATGCTTTCATCCCTTCGTGCATTGTCGTAAGCCCCTGATGATTACTCTTAAAAGGGTGCCTCTGCTATGCAGGGAAACAGTTGCTGACCACACGAGAGACAGCTTGCTCACTTGCTTCAGCCTTCTTGAATGCCTGGTCACTTCAGCTTTGTACCAGCCTGACCAAGCAGGACCATGTCTACCTTTGGCTACAGAAGAGAGCTCAGTAAATATGAAGACATTGATGAAGATGAGCTCCTCGCTTCTCTCACTGAAGAGGAGCTGAAGGAGCTGGAGCGGGAGCTAGAGGACATAGAGCCCGACCGTAACCTTCCAGTGGGGCAACGACAGAAAAGCCTGACAGAGAAAACACCGACAGGGACTTTCAGCAGGGAAGCACTGATGGCCTATTGGGAGAGGGAGACCAAGAAACTCTTAGAAAAAGAGAGGTTGGGTGCATGCGACAAGGTAAGATGCCAAGGCATTTGCTGTTTCCTATAAATATTTGGGGTTATTCTTCATTGGCATGATCTTGCTGACTGATTTAATTTCCTTTCAGTCTCTTGTAGCATTTTTAAGAACACTGTTATCCATACTTCTGTGCCTGCTAAAGGTCTGTGTAGTAGCTCAGACAGTAAATGCTCTGTTCAGAACAGAAGAAAGTGCCATAAAAACTATCATTAGTGATAAAATAGGACAAAAAATTAAAGGGCATGTTAAAAATTATCGATAGGTAGCAATATGGGCTTTGGATAGCATTTGATTTTTTAAAAAACTACAGAAAGTGCCTTTTCCTTTTCTTAAAAAACAATCAGTACTGGCTGCGCAGAAGCACATCAGGAAGATAATTTTGAATACGTGTTATGTCAGAAGTTCAGTAAGCGGACACCAGACTTTGTGCTCACTGGAAGGAAGCTGCGTTGCAGACGCAGCTTGTGTTGCTTTGTCCCTGCTGAGGAGCCTTGGCACGGCTTGGGAATCTTCTAGCAACTGTTGTCAGAGGGTTACATTATTTAAAAAGTGGCCTGATCAGCTGAACCATTTAACTGTATTCCCAAAAAAACTGCCAATAGTGTTTGTTAGGCAACTCATTCCCCAAAATAAAAAAGTTAATAATAAAAGCTGGTCCCTGAGCTAGAAAGGAACATTACAGCTGGTCAGAAGTGAAGGGCTCAGTCTTGGCAAGCAACAAGCACTCTGTCTCAGCTAATGTCCATGTTGGCACCACTGGGTCCTTGCTAAAAGTATTTGTGAGACTGAGCTCAGTCAAAAAGCAACTTCTGTTTTCACAATGGCTCCATGTGGGGACATGGGAATTTTTAAGTGCTGCTTCATACCAAGCTCTGACTCTGTTTATAGGGACAAGTTTTCTTATGTTTAAATACAAAATAATGCAACAAAGGCAAAGTCAGCAAAAGCGGACTCAGAACCTCTAACAGCCCTATTCAGGAGTTTGGTTCATTTGCAAGGAAATAATTGCAGTCTATACATTAGCTAAAATATCCTTCTAGAGAAATGTCAGGTGGATTAAAATACCCTGCAATATCCAGGATGTTTTTACATATGTTTTCTCCTGCTTGTGAATGGTGGTATAATGTCTTTGCAGGCAAGTGCACAGACCAGTAGCTGTCATCAGACCATTAGTGTCAGCTTGCAGTCGTTGACTTCACTCCCTGTTTGTCAAGTCCTAGGGAGGCAATGGCAAGATTAATGTTTATTTCCAGCTAAGCCTGGAACTCGAAACCTGGGCACTTCCAAAACACCTTCTGAATAGGTCTAGTTCTGTGTCTTATATAACGGCAGGATCTTTCTTTCCCCCCTCCCCCATATTTATACAGCATTAATGATGGGTTATGGCTAAACCTTGAAGTGCTGGCAAGCACATCTATACTTTGTGATCTAAGAAGAAACTTCCTAAATGCATCCTTTAATAAGAAAATGTTGACATGCTAAAATAGAGGGCACAAAGCTTCTCTTCACTGAAGGCAGTAAGAAAGCTCCTTGAAAGCAATTTTCTTCTTGCTTTCAACTGCCTGGAAGTTAGACACCTTTATCTAAGATGGTTATTTGTGCTCCTTCTATAGTTAGTGGTGAGAGATCAGCTGCTCCAGAAGGCAAACAAGCTGCAGATAGCCTTTTAGGGGGAATAACTTGTCCTCCAGAGATATTTACCTCTGCATTGACTATCTTAGCCCTAAATTTTCATCGAATTACTACTACAATATAAGGTGAAGCCCCGCAGGCTGCCTGCAGCAGTCCTGTACTGCAATGCTGCCATAGTAACATAGTACATCTCTGTGGATCTGCAAAGAGAAGAGCTTTCAATTTTAAAATTATTGTGCAGATTGTTGTGACACCAGACAATGTATGTGACAGGAAACTAAACTTCCCCTTTGGCCCCAGAAACGCCAGTCAAAAAAAGCCCAAAAAATCAAACCCAAGTATTTTTTTTATTAGTCTAGTGGCATCAAACATATTAACAGTGCATTTAGAGGCACCACCTTCTGCTCATCTGCAGCTGTGTTGAAGGCTGTAGTACATATTCCTAGAGAGAGAAAAGCAAAACCATGAAGATAGATTCCTGGATACCTGGTGTGTTCAGGTTTTAAAACTCTACACATATATAGAAGCTACAGATATAAATCTTAGTCCCAATAATAAACCTATAGGTAGCACAGTATGTCTCAGTCTCTCTGCATAGGGGCCTTCCTGGAAAAGGAGGCCCCTTCTCCACAGGAGAAGTAATGGGGCTGGATCCTGCAAGACCTCTATGTGCAGGTCAGTGTGATGGGACCCTGCAAGCCCCCCAGGTGCTGAATGCTCAGCTCAGGAACATCAGGTGGGAACAGCTCAATGTCCTGTTTCATTACGAGTCACAGTTCTACGAACATTACAATTAACATCTGTTTTACATGTGTCCCAACACAGAATTCTGCTTAAGATTGTGAAACAGTACAATGCAATCTGTCACTACTGTTATTTTAACCTTTCCCTGTATTTTCAGAGCTAGATAATTAAGCAAACCTAAAACTACACGGGTTGTATAGAAATAGTCCTGTTAGTAACACTTCTGTTTTCCAGAACCGAATTGCTGTTTCTCTGCAGAGTATATTTACTTTGGAAAATACCCTCTAGTATTTTACAAACATTAAAAACCCCATTAAACCCCATGAACATTGCTGACATAATGCATACCGAACAATTATATTTCATCCAAAATTTTATAAACATTTACAGTGGTAAATAAAAAGGCATAAGCTATGGCTTGTCCAGTAGACAAAATATGACGTGGGAGATCTTTTGGGGCAAAAGGTGGGTGGTACATAGATCAGCCTATGGCACATAGATCAGTCATGGCCCATAGATCCCTGCTGCACTACTTCAGTCTTCCAGGTGGAGAGTGAGGCTTTCCTGGAGCAAAGACTTTTCCCCGCTCCTGTGCCACCATAACTGCTAAGGGCACCAGACAGAGCTTTAAGTCATGGTTCCAAATCTGCCTTCCTGGTATCCACCAAGCACACTAAAATAACTTTACATTTCAGAAAAAAATCCATTTACTCTGTAGACAATTAATTATAATGATTCACAGTATGGCAGCTGACCTGCAACAGCTGTCGGTGAGCACAGACTTAGCTTTTGGCAAACATGAAGAAATTTGGGGCTTCTTGACATGTTACCTTGCATTCCTTGTTTTCTGTGGAAATGCATCTGAATCCTTTTTTCACAAATAGTTTCTAAGTACGTACAGTCCATGCAGTGCATCCAGAGTCTTTTTGACATGACTCCTGTAATTCTGAATTGTTTTGTATGCTGGTATACACGATTACACATGCAGACACTATTTATATATTAAATCATGGCAATCTTTAACTTTTTTAGATGTACTAACATATGCAAGGGAGTCTGAGCATTGACACAGATGTCTAATCCTGATGAAATGAAGAAGCTTGTTGCTCATATCCATTCTGAAATTGTTGTCTTGTGTTTCTGCTGGCAAGGGTACAAATTATATCTCCTTGCAGACATGCCAACACAGAAAATGTGAAGTATGTCCACGTTGTAATATCTTGTATCAAGTTTTCTCTTGGTAGAAATTACTGACATTGGTTAAATGGTTGCAATTTATGCTGAACATTTTCTAAAGAATATGAAAGAAGTAATGTTAAAAAGGTCTTAGGTGCTGCAGCATTTTCTGTTCTCCTAACTGTATCTGTTTATGGGGATTTATTTTTAGGTTTCAATATTAACATATAGTCTCAATATAATTTTTATTATGCTAAAAGGCAGTAGCTACATTATTTCAATCATGTTTAAGACTCATACCTACATTCCTGTTCAGGATTCTGAGCAAGAAGAAGACAATTCAGAAGAGCTGCAAGAAGAATGTTTCACAGAAAGCAATAGTGAAGTGTCTGAGGAGGCATATACTGAAGAGGATGATGAAGAAGAAGATGATGAGAAGGAAGATGAAGATGAGAGTGATGATGAGAATGAGCAAGAGCAAAATGCTGCAGGTGGTGAAAGACCTGAGAATGGCAGGAGTTCTGACCACATCAGACGCAAAAAGTGTAATGGCGCAAAAGACAATGAAAACTTACTCAATGGCCATGATGGAAAAGACAACGATAGTCAGAGCTTAAAAAGCAGTGCCATTCACCCTTGTGGAAATCCAACAGTTATTGAGGATGCTTTGGAAAAAGTTAGGAGCAATGACCCTGACACCACAGAAGTCAATCTGAACAACATTGAAAACATCACTTCACAGATGCTTATACAATTTTCTCAAGCCCTGAGGGACAACACAGTGGTTAAGTCATTCAGCTTGGCTAACACCCATGCTGATGACAACGTGGCAATAGCTATTGCTGGTATGTTAAAGGTAAATCAGCATATAACTAGTTTGAATATCGAGTCAAATTTTATCACAGGCAAAGGCGTGCTGGCCATCATGAGAGCTTTGCAGAATAACAAAGTTCTAACAGAACTGCGGTTCCACAATCAAAGGCACATCATGGGCAGCCAGGTGGAAATGGACATAGTTAAACTGTTGAAAGAGAACACCACTCTGGTCAAGCTGGGGTACCACTTTGACCTTGCTGGCCCAAGAATGAGCATGACAAGTATCCTGACAAGAAATATGGATAAACAAAGGCAAAAGCGTATGCAGGAGCAGAGGCAACAAGAGTCAGGTTGTGATGGAGCCATCAATCCAAAGACCAAAGTCTTGCAGAAGGGAACACCTCGATCCTCACCTTATGTGTCACCTAAGAGCTCACCATGGTCTTCTCCAAAGCTCTCTAAGAAAGCACCTCCAGTGAAAAGTCAGCCTCCAGCTCCAGCTCCCGCACCTCCCCCTCCCCCACCACCCCCACCCCCACCTCCTCCTCCTCCAGTTATTCCAGAGAAGAAGGCACCAACCAGGAATATAGCTGAAGTCATCAAACAGCAAGAAAGTGCAAAAAAAGACTTACATAATGGACAGAAAAAGAAAAAAGGCAAAAAAAGCAGAAAACATGAGAACAACATATTGAAAGAAATTAAAGATTCTCTAAAATCCATCTCAGACAGAAAATCAGAGGAAGGTTCACGACCCTCCACCCGTCCATCCACCCCACAAAGGTCTCTCCATGACAACCTTATGGAAGCAATTCGGGCAAGCAGCATAAAGCAATTAAGGCGGGTAAGTGAGAGATCCTTGTTCAGTAACTGATTGTGGCCCAAAAATAGCACAAGCTCAGGTAATTTTAGTATGTATATTTAATAAATGAAAATTCTTAGAAATGTGAGCATAATAAAGCACTTGGGAGGAGGCTTTCCCCTGATCAGGCTTTTCTCAGCACACTGATTTCTCTCCAACTGTGAAAGTGGGGCGCTTTCCCAGGTTCTGTCTTGTTATGGGAGAGGGTGGATAGCTCACGGCTCTTGGGAGTCTATGTCTGGTAGGAATGTTGCCATCCAGACTGTACAGCAAATGTAGTGAACACCCTTCCCATCCCTGTTTCATAGGTGGAGGTACCAGAAGCCCTTCGGTGAAAGCCTGGATGACAGAAGAAGCAGAACCCTGCAGTGACTGAGGGGAAGCTTCTTGTCCTTTCATTGGCGGTAACATAGACTGTCTAGCAAGCTGCTTCCAAAGTACACTCTTAGATTCAAGCCATTTCCCTTTTATTTCAAAGAAATAAAACTGCTATATACAAAATAATGCTTTAAGGATCCATTTACCTTGTAATCTGTAAATATGGAAATAATTTTCTTTTTTATTTAATGAGATTTCTATTGAGAAATTGCTTCTTATTTAGATATTCTTGTCAATATCTGATTGCACATCACTTGGCAAGTTCTTCACACTGAGATGTAATAGTTTAACACTCTGTGGTTTCTTCTGTTTTTTCCATGAATTTACAATAAATATGGTTTGAAGCTTTCAAGCAGACACATAGTCCTTTATTTCTGTAAGTTAAAACCCACCAGACATTTGCATCACATTCATGAGCATTCAGGAAGTCTCCTGGGAAAGAACCTGAGATCTTTCTCAGCTGCACCTGTGCCTGTGTGGAGTATAGTATCTGAGCCCATATATTAGTGCAATTCCATACTGATGTGGGAAAAAAATGATTCATAAGGCTATGTACAACTAAAACTAAGATATGGGCTGTGTCAGGTCATCGGTGTTGCATACCGGGTCCTAAACCTTGGTCTAAGAGAAGAAGTGGGAGATGAATAGATACGTGGTTCGTGTTGACTTATGGGTTAAATATTAATGCCGATATTTTATGTTTGCAGAAGAATTATTCAATTGAGATCCATTCAGTCCAAGTGCTGTATTTAGGCAGAACTAACCCCAGCTGAGATATCCAGTCAAACAGAGAAACTTGAAAAGCAGTCTGCCATTCAGGTGGAAAAAGGCTTTCCTATGGTATCAGTTGAACAACAAGCAGGGTGTGAACTGTCAATATGATACAGTGGAAGCAGAGCCAACATCATTTGGAGATGCATGGCTGGAGGTATCACATCACAGGCAATGGCATGAATAGCCCTTCCTCATGTAGCTCTAGACATCTCCCTGGTCAGATTAGTTATGGTTCTGGGTGCTTCAGCTAGTGTGAAGGTAGTGATAACATGAAGAAAACTGAGTAGTGGCCAAAATGTTGAAAGGTGAGAGAAGAGATATGTTCAGAAGCACTACTAAGTATTAATTAGTTTGTTTATTGCAACTATAAACAACAGAATTAGTATTTTTTTTTTACATAATACCACATCAACTAAAGTAATTTCTTAAGTTACTCAACACTGCGCAAAACAGTGGTATTGAAAAAAACACAGGTAAGCTTGCTCCTAGAAATATTAATTAGACAGATTTCCCCAGAAATAGGAACATATTGCTGGAGGGAAATGAAGCATAAGGGAGAGGGGATCCTTTAATGAATTGTCAGGAATGTAACTGTCATAGCAAGAAAATGGTGAAAATACCTTTTTGCATTTGTATTTATTGACTAGAACATACCAAAAGCAATATATAAGTAACTGAAACACATTCCAACATTTTTTTTCTTGCCTCAGGATCACAACTCATGAATATTTCTAGACCCAGTGTCACAGGAAATATGGTATGTACAATTAGTCTTTAGCTGCCTTTATAATTGCATAGGCTCCCATAGCATAAAAATCAACCTGTGGTCAGTGTTCCATGACCAAATGGAAGCTGGGACTTGGGATCTTCTGAGGATGGAAGCAATACTGGAATGCAGACAACAGTCAGGAGTAGACCTGCAGCCCCAGACCTTGTCTCCAGAAACTTTGTGAAGGATGAGAAACATCCTGGATGTTTAATCAAATGGCAAAAGCAGATAAGCAAGGGAAAATAAAAGATAGTGAGGGAAAGCAGGAAAAGCACAATGGAGAGGATTTGATGGGACACAAGAAAATGTTTTTAAAAACCGAAATCATACTTTTAAGGAAAGAGGGAGAGCAAGAATTGAGGAAACTATCTGTATGGGAGGTGAAAAATTATATAGAAAAAGAAGATAGAAAAGAAAATGAATGCGGAAAAGTGACAGATGAGAGAAGAGAAGAATGTGGAAGAAGAAAAAAGCCTAGAAAAAAGGAAAAGGGAAGGTAGAATTCATCTTTCAGGTTGGTAAGAGTTACTCTTTTGCAGAAGGGGAGGCTGATGGGCAGAGTCCTTAAGAGAATTTGGCCAGAGCTCCTGACTGTGGAGGCTGCGAAATGGCCATCAGCCCTCTCAGGTGGGAGCCCTGCTCTGATGTATTTTAAAGTAATGGAGATGGTGACCATGTGTGGATACTGAAGCTCCTGGAGCACACTCGCTCACGAAGGGTCAGTCCTGTGCTTTAGCCAATGCACAGCCAGTGCTATGCCCCCATCAGAATTGGACACAGGAACCCCAGGATGCAGGTATGCTCCTCATTTGGACTCGTAAGGCTCTGGCAGTGCGTGGCCATCCATTTTCTCTCAATCAGAGAAACAAACACACCAAAATCTGTCATCCATGCCGTGTAAAATGGAACAACTTGGCACTTCGAATCCTCTGCCCCTCACTACAAGAAGGATATTGACATGCTGGAGCATGTCCAAAGAAGGACAACACAGTTGATGAAAAGTCTGGAGCACAAGTCCTCTTACGAACGGCTGAGGGAGCTGGGGTTGTTTAGCCTGGAGAAAAGGAGGCTAAGTGGAGACCTTATTGCTCTTTACAGCTGGTTAACAGGAGGTTGTAGCCAGGCGGGGTTGGTGTCTTCTCCCAGGTAGCAAGTGATAGAACAAGAAGAAATGGCCTCAAGTTGCACCAGGGGAGGAAAGAAAACTTTCTTCGCCAAAAGGGTGGTCAAGCATTGGAATAGGCTGCCTAGGGAAGTGGCAGAGTCACCATCCCTGGAAGTGTTCAAAAAAATGTGTAGATATGGTGCTTAGAGACATGGTTTAGAGGTGGACCTGGCAGTGCTGGGTTAAGGGTTAGACTCAATGATCTTTGAGGCCTTTTCCAACCTTAATGATTCTGTGATTCCATAAAAGAGCTGACCTACCAAGTACCAGAAATATCAGAGCCTGACTGCTACCTGTAATTCCAGTATGTGGCCCTTTAATTTGTGCCTCATCACCTAGTGAAGTATCCAAGTATATAGAAAGAAAAGGAGTTCATAAAAGTCCAAGAAATTTTATTTCCACATCTTCTGGAAGTTTCCTGCCTCCTGCTGAGTCCCCTGTTGATGTTCTGGATAGTGACCCACTTTGCTGGTATTTAGCTGAGGGCAGAGGCGCTGGTCTGACTGCCTTGCAGATGTGCTTCCTTCCCACCAAACAGGGCAGGTAGCCCTGGAGGCTCCTGCCAGGTGAAGCCACATCCATTTCTGGAGGCTGAGTCTGTGCTGCCCATAATGGGAGAGACAGAGAGCTGGTCCAGGACAGCCCCTGCATGGTATGGTGGGAGAATGGATATCCTGGGAAGCTGCAGGCAGAGGGGAGCAGGAAGGTATGGCTAAGGCCTCTCCCTTGCCCACATGCTAGGACAACACAGTTACAACCCTTGCAGAACAGAGCAGAAGCTCTGAGTATTCCAGACTTCCACACCACCTCTCATATGTTTTCCACAGAAGTCCATCAGGTCTGTGGAAGTAATGATTAAGGCAGAGCAGCCCCACAGCCCAAATAGAGAGGACTTGTCTGTAGGTTGTTTTGAGAGTGACATATAACTACCACGAGTTAGCCGTGAAGAGGGGATTTGCAATGCCTGGATGTAAGGTGAGAGGTAGCTCCAAACACTATTCCCGGGTGCAGGCCCAAGTGAAACAGCACCTGGAAGAGTGTGTATAATTCCAGTAACTGACAGCCAGGAAAAATTGTTTTGAATTGGAAGAGGGACAGAAAATGGCTAGGATAATTGGGGAACTGGAGAGGCTGTCCTGTAAGAGAGATGAGAACAGGTGGTGGGATCAGTCTAGCCAAACAAAGGCTCAAAGGGATTTCAGCTCATGTCTATAAATATAGCAAAGGAGAAAGAGCTACGGGACACAGTTAGCAGTAGGGAAAAAAAAAAAAACCCAAAACTGTGCATGACTGAGTTTTGATCAGAAATTAGAAGACATGTCCTAGCTCTTAGAGCAAGAAGGTTCTTGGAGCAGCCTTCTCATTAAAAAAGAATGGGCAAATTCATAAACTTATTGTTAAAAGAATGCCAGAAGCTTATGAAAAGGATAGTATGGTGTGGTGCTTTCTGCAGCAGAATTCTGAAACCAGTAACACAGAAGCGCTGCCATTATTAAATTAATGTTCTAAGATGTGATAACTACACAGGATCTGGAACCACCCAAAGCAAGTGGGTGACTGGTGCAGATTAGTTACAGCGGGGACCTCCCAGCATGCACTGACTGTTTCCCCCAGGTCTACACTGCTCCCTGCCTTGCCAGGGCTATCCTGTGAGACTGGGATGGGTTGAAGGTCCGTTGCAGTTTTGGGTCTGCTGGGTGGATGCAACTTTGTGCTGAAACTGGAAGGTGAAGGAGCAAACTGCAGCTCGTGCGCAGCAGTAAGAAGGGGCTTTGCTTTCCTTCTGTGTAGATAGTGGAAAAATAGAGCAATTGTCACACGCTGGCTGTGGGGTAGCTGGTGCACTATCAGACGCAGATGTAACTGTTCTGTGTGAAAAGGTTGGATCAGTCCAAAAGAAAAACGGAGATATGAAAGAAATTGTTGAAAGCAAAGCTGTTGCCTGTCTGCCAGGTGTATTTATTTCTATCTCTAATCTTTGACTATTTTCAGGTTCAAATGAATATGAATTTTAGAAAGCCTTGAATTATTGAATTATTTGGTACAGAACTATAACACAAGGAAAGATGTTTTTCTTTCCTTTAAATATAGTCATGGTAAAAATTCTCATTGGGTGTCTGGTAAGAGCCCAAACATGTATCTCAAAGCCAAGACTAAGGGTTATGTCCTGGGCTGTGCTGCTGCTATTTATGCACTCTGCGGTGTATTGCTTAATTTCTTATGCCTCCACTTTGCCTTGTAGAGATCAGTACTGATCCATTTCACAGTAGTGCAAGACTATGTTCACATAGACTCAAATGTGCTCCAAGATCCTCAAACATCAAGGACTATTGGATGCATTATTATTTAATTTTAATTTTAATTTTAATTTTTATTTTTATTTTTGCTAACAGGAATGTTTTGACTGGATGAATATCAGTGAATATGATGATTGTCAGTGTATTTCTGAGTGGTAAGAGAAGCACAGCCCATGATCCAGTGCAGGAAATTTTGTAAATGCACGAGGCAAGCCATGAGGATGGGAATCGCAAGGCTGACTCTGCCGTGAAAAAATGTCATTGAAAGGGAGACATGCCATTTCTGTCATTTTGTCACCTAAGAAACAAGCATATGAAGAACTGAAAGGACAGTCAGAAATGCTTATGCACC